TGTCTGTCCCTTTTACGTCTGTGAATCATTATTCTGTCTCCCTCTCCACTTTTTACCAGTTGGATGTTCATCTTCCTTTCTGTGAAGCCTGAAGTCAACTAAAGGGCTAATGATACCTATCATAAATAAATAAATCATCTGTTCATCGGAGTATTTCAATGACTGTAAACCACATAAAATGGTTATCGTAAATTGCACCAGCTTTCACATCTGCATTTGCATTAAACAAATCATTGCCACAATGGTTATAACCGTGTGCACGACAAAAATGAAGTGTAGCCTCACAAACAAAAATATATCCATGAAATTATTAAAATTAAATAACGAAATATAATGTAAGGATTTCGATTGACCAGGAAACAACCAATCCACTTACCTGAAAAGAATGGCATTTAGAAAAATAATTTGAAAGCACTCGAAAATACATATTTAGATGAATAATTGCACAGAGTTTATGAAAGCTTTGCAATATTTTATGTTACACAGAGTGAGCCGTACCATCCAGCTTAAAGAATATGGACGCTTTTTGTTGAAGCGTAGCTCCATAACGCAACGCAAATGAGCCCATATTTAAGAAAGACCTTTCATTTGTGAGCCATGTTTTGGAACTAAAGTCAAGTAATGTCCACAACCTAATGTGTCAAGATTGTGTTAGAATCCGGATAGAAAGTTTTTGTTTAAACTTATTTGAACATATCGATAGCAGTTTCATAACATTATTTAAAATTTAAAATGTCAATGTTTTGGTACTTACCATTCTCGCCTTCCATATTTTATTTATATAATTTTCAGAATGAGAAAAAAACAACCTCCACTTCTCTTGTTTAAACACTTTCAATTTATCCAATACTAACAGTGTCTCCCGTTACTAATACAAGCTCCAAGGAGCTAATTTGATAACGAGCATGATCCGTCAGGAAGTTGTATGCATCTCCGTTTCCCCCTAAAATGTGCGCATGAATGTCTAAATCATGATAGCTTGCCTTGAATGAATTTTGTTAAAAAATCAAGGAAGATATTCAAGTGAACCCTTGAGCGCATAACTATGAAAGCAACTGACAATGAATATTTCGAAAAATGGTAAATGCTTGAAGCTGAGTTCTATTAAGAAGAAAGTTATCTATCATGTCTCAATTTAATGCGCTTGTGGCACTGGAAAAAATATTTATTACTAACATGGATGAGTAGAGCAGATGCAAGGGAAAAGTAATCGGTGTGCAAAAGTACAAGGAGGGGAAATTGTGAGTTATATATGCAACTCGATTCAAATTACAGAGTAAATTTTAATTGATCTTCAGAATATAAATTTCCTCACAATGGATTTTTGAGCTATATCAACTGAGTCATGCGTTTCATCATTTCCTTTAAAAATATACTGTTATTGCTTTAAGGAAAGGTTATGCACTGTGCTATATATATGACGCAATTCAATAGCCGAATGGGACCCTCGGTTGCGTATTGAACTAATTCCTTTCTCATTTGATGTATGTGCAATTACCTTAAAGCATAAATCTCGATTGATTTCTCATGACCTCAAACATATTGGCGACAATCTTTCGTTCATAATGTGTATAGTTTCTGAAATACAGAAAACATTCAAGCTGATTGCTTGCAAGTTGATTTGCTTTGATGAAACCATTTAGTTGCGACGCATTTTTCAAAATAAATAGATCAAATAGCTTAGATTCGTGAAAGAAGCGTATAGGAGAGCCGGTTATCAAAAGTCTGGTAACGATTACCTCCTCATTATTCAGCCACTTACTTGCCAAACCTAATATTTATTTATTTATTTTAAATGGTAAGATTTATGATATCTATCATTAGTCGTTAAACTTTGACTTCAGCTTACCTCAAGGGTAGGGGGTACATTTATAGCAGTTAATTAATAGTAGTTTATTAGTTGTTTTCTTGCTTTTCAGTATCTCTGGCTTTCCGTCATTGGCTATAGGGCCGGACACCGAAATAGGTGGGTCTTATCCATATCCTCCTGTAGGCTAATTAGGAGGCATGTGGGATGAGTGTATACTCTCGATCTGTTAAGATATTCTGCCAGGCAATCGTGTCCGGTACGAAGTCTAAACTCAGCACTGTCCGATACGTAGTCTAAACTCAGCAACGGCTTCGATTCTCGTAGTCGGCTATGTCGGAGAGTGCCACTGTCCACTGTTTCTCTGTTGTTCGAGCTTTGAGTTCGTTGAACCTTGAGGTCTGGAAAGCCGGGTATGTCGGAGAGTGCCACTGTCCACTATTTCTCCTAGCTATATCGAAGAGTGCCACTGTCCACTGTTTCTGATTCTTGGCTAGTCGGCTATGTCGGAGAGTGCCACTGTCCACTGTTTCTCTTTTGTTCGAGGTTTAAGTTCGTTGCACCTTGAGATCTTGAATTCTCTTCTGATCGGGAGAGTGCCACTGTCCACTGTTTCCCCTTTGTTCTTGAGTTCGTTGAACCTTGAGGTCTCCACTGTCCACTGTTTCTCCTTTGTTCGAGCTTTAAGTTCGTTTGCACCTTGAGGTCTGGAATTCTCTTTTGATTAAAGAACACATTGTGTGGAAAGACATCGGCCGGTTCATGCATTGTAAAATCGTTGTCCCCTTCTTAGCAAGTGTGTCACCAAGCTCATTGCCTTTAATGCTACAGTGACCAGCAATTCATTGTAGGACCAATGTTTTTTGTTTTTCTCTCTCAGCAGCTGATAGAGTTTTCTACATTTCTTTTTCTCAGCTGTTTTAGGCGTCTCTCTGCTTCCAATTGAATTTATTGCTGACTGTGAGTCCGAAAGTATCACCGCTATGGTGAATTTCGTATCCTGGCAACATAATTGACATAGTGCTTACCTAATGGCCTCCTTTTCTCCCTCGAAAGCGGATCTATTGTGTCCCGCTACTGCGTTGAAAGAGTAGAGTTCTGAGTAGACACCTGCACTAACGTTTGCTTGGTTTTCTATAAATGACCCATCAGTGAAGACTTGGAGCCAATTATCTGCAGGATAGTTGATATTGATTGTCTCAAGGGTCAGTGAGCGCATTTGTTCTGGAGGAGTGTTTGATTTCCTGAAGAAGTCAAGCAGTTGGGTGCAACAAACTACACCAGTGTCTGCCAATGGGTTCATGGGGAGAGAGTGACTTTTTGGTTTGTCATCGATTTGTAATTCTTTAGTTCTANAGTCGTAATGCCTGGTTGTGTGCCTTCTCGAGTGGTTTGAGTGTCATCTCTGTGGCTGTAATGAGTGGTAGACAGCAATACAACTTTATTGGCTGAATAAACATCTTGTCAGTGGTGGTGCTATTTAAGCAATGTGACTTTTTCACGTTAGCTTTGTGTCAAACGTCATTCCGAGATATGTGAACTCATTTGTTTTTTCTCTGGTAGTATCCTTGTACCTTAGAAGCAGGTTTATGCTGTGATGGGCCAAAGAAAAAGTTCGGAATGCAGTTTTTGCGGTGATAATTACCATTCCATTGTTGTCGCACCAGGTTGCTAGTAGTTTAAGTGCACAATTTAGGACACTTTCTGTCCTCCATGATCGTTTTCGTAGGGGCCGAATACCCTAGAACAAGATCATCTGCATAAAGTAAGCACTCCATGCTCGTGACTGTCTGTACCAATTCGGCTATGTCATTGATGAAGATATTGAAAGATTGCAGCTTGTTTGTAAAAGATCGCAATTTGATAGAGCATTTACATATCTGAATTTACATGATCTTTGTCCAATGGATGCTTTTATCCAGTTTAGCATGTTATGCTTAATACCTATCTTTGCCAATTTTAGAATTAGCTTCTCTTTCCATACTAAGTCATATGCTGATTTGAAATCGAAAAAACCAGCTGTAAGGGTATTTCTTGCATCCAGGGCATCTTTGATGTGTTGGGAGAAAGTGGCTTCTTGTTGGTTCGTTGATCTTTGTGGCCTAAAACCTGCTTGTTCACACCTCAGAATATTGTTGGTCTCAAGAAACCAGGTCAGCCTCCTGTTAACCATTCTTTCCATAAGTTTAGCCAGCACGCTTGTGAGGGAGATAGGCCTATAGTTGTCAAAGTTGCTAAGGTCTTTGCCCTTTTTAAATACTGATATTACTATGACCACTTTCTCTTGATTAGGTACGAAACTGGTCTCCCTCATTTTGTTGAAAAGCGTTAGCTTGGTTTCCTTGGCTTTCGGTTCCATTCTAATTAGAAAGTCCGGATAAATACCGTCTTCACCAGGAGACTTTTGCACTTGAGCTGTTTTATTGCAGCATTAAGTTGGCAAGATCTGAATGGCTCAGTAAGTACATTGTTTAGAGTTGCTATAGAAAACTGTCTTACTTGTATCTTTAAATCTCTTGAAGATTTGATAGTTGACATTTGAGATGAACTTGCCGAAGGAATTCCTTTAGCTTGTAAGATGGCTTGTCTTAGGACAGCTGACTGTCGTTTCCAGGCTTGTACGTCTTCTATTGTTCCAGTCTATTAGAAGTGATGCGAACGGCGTCACGCTTTCTTTCCACTTCCCCAAGGTGATCAGACCAAAACACTTGTTAGTGTTTGTTCTTGCCTCGGGGAATGGTTTTCTTTACACCCCATATTATAATATTCGTGATATTTTGTAAAGGTTGTCAGAATGTTGGTTGAAGTTGAGTGGACTTGTGTGCAGTTTATTATCTAAACGTTTTTTGAATCTAGGCCAGTCAGCCTTCTTGAAGTTCCATGACAGCTTAGTTAGAAATTTTGTTGTCATGCTTTTGCTGCAAATGGTAATACTAGCAATGATTGGTTTGTGAGCAGAATCAGGATCGTCAGTCGTGTGTGCTCGCTGATGTCGCTTGAAGCCATGTGTAAGTCAGGAGTTGTTCTGGTTCCATTGTAGTGCAAATATGTATCCGGATCCTCATTGCTGTAAATAAGTCCCAGAGGTTTACTGTTCAGCATGTCTTCGATTTCCTTTCCAGCTATGTTTGTATCCTTATAGCCCCATCTGATGGAATGGACGTTGAAGTCTCCTAATACTACAATTTTGTGTGAGATGTTCAGAAAATCAAACTCGGGACTATTCTGATGTGGTTTATTGACTGCATATATCTTGAAGTGGTTTTGACATTTCCAAATATTTAATCTGATTATTTCGCATAAGTCTTGCGTCGAGCCCATACTATTGATTAGAACGTAATGTGATGTGAGGCCTTCTTTTACTCCAGTCAGAATTCCCCTAGCAACTTGCCGCTATTTAAGTAGAAGGTGCAGGGTGTAACCTGGGAATNGTGACATCCCTCCAGCATTTCACTGAAGGATCTGAAGACGATGTGATTCGCCCTGACGATGGCAATTTGTCTTATAGAATTCGTCAATGTAATCATAATAAATATAAGTCAAAATGCTGAGTGATAGATTTTTTGCCGTAGGAAGATATGTTACCCAGGGTGCACCACGTGGATGTAATTCTATCGCGCATCCCTTGTAGTGCAGATATAAAGCATGATTCTCATCGCTGTAAATAAGTGCTTGAGAACAACTGTCGAGCATGACTTCGATTTTCTATCCAGCTCTGTTTACGTTCTTATAGCCCCATCTGTTGGAATGGGCGTTAAAGTCCCATTATAATTCAGTGTTTTGGAAGATGTTCAGGAGATTGAAGTTAAGTATATTGTAGGGTGGTATAGACTGGGTATATCTTAAAGTGGTTTTGCATATCAAAAACGAAACGAGGTATTTGTCAAATTACAAAGTGACACAAATATTAATGAATGCATTGNGTATTCACAATCAATTGGTCAATTATGGTGAGCATACGCGTTACCAAACCACGCAAGGATGACGGAGTGGACTACTCCAACTCCCGTTAATTACAAGATCTCAAATATCAACCGATTGTGGATGTCATTAGTAAATGGAGAAAAATTTTCGTATTTACGAACAGCACTATTTTAGATGAATAAAATTTGACGTTGAATATTGCCTTATCAATTGCCTGTAAGGTAAAAAATATCTGAGATCAAAGACTGGAATTCAAGAGTTAAAGTTCCGATGGAATCAAGGATGCCATTGCTCTGGGGGTGAGGTAATCTAGGGCTTGTATTAAATGGTTGATATTAGCGCCAGAGACTATTTATCTAGTGATGAAGTTATAAGCCCACAATTTGGATGGAGTCGACCGTTAAAGGTAGTACAGAGTTTGAATAAATTTTATCAACGCTTTTTGCTATCTTTGTGCCAAGTCTAAACAAAATCAGTTCATTCAGTGTTAATCAATAACATTTCATCGTCTAATACCAAACACTAGATTTATCTCGATATTTATGTATTCAGTCATGTGTCTTGAAGTTTGCCAGAATAAAAGTAAAAGGATGAGATTTAGAGGAGACACGCCAAATATGCAATTAGTTGTCCACATATAGCGCCAATCGTAAGAAGAATATTTTGAAGTTGCCATCTCAACATGAAGCACAAATCAGACGTATATATTATCATCATAATAAATGAAGGAAAATGGCATATTGCCAGAATGGCAGATGTTACCAACGAACACATGAAACTACGAATTTGAAGATAAAAGGACAAATTCTTTGCAAATAAGGGCAATAGATTATTATAAAAATGGAAATTTTTCCTTTGACGTAATTGTGTAGTCAAAGATAGAGTAAAAATATATCGATTCTATTATTTCTCATGTTTAACAATCGTCGTATCATTGAATCATAAGGAAATGAAACATCGAAATGAGATATTTTTATTAGTGATGGCGATGGTGATGGTAGTGGTGGTTCGTTGTGGCGGTTCGATGGTGGTTGGAAGAATTTTGATTTATTGTGGAAGAATGATAAACTACTGTAACCTCTCGATATTGCATTGAATTGTTCTTCATCAAATTTGTACTTGCATACTAGCACCTAATGTTGGACTAGAAATTTTGAATTCATGGTGGAATTCTCCTGATGCTCCAATTGTCTTAAAAATTAGTACGCCCAACACATTCATATCTGATACATAAAATTCACCTTTCCTACAAATCGTCTCGAATTTGAGTAATTCTTTTACTACATTCAACTTTCTAGGGTAACCATCTTTACATTTTCCAACCAGTATATAATTTGAATTGTCGAAGTGAAATTTGCCAATAAATACAACTCCTCCTATTGCTTGTCATGTTGACGGTTGCAATCGACTAACTTATGTTCTTCCACAACCAAAATGTTTCGAAAGGATATAATTTATTCCATTGTGGACTAAGTGTGGATTTTTTGTCAGCATAGCCGTGTCTCATCAAAAACAACGCTTCCAAGTGGTAGACATGGACGTTGTTTTACACCATGAACGTGGACACAACAAACTAGTACGGCTTGCCTGAACTTACACCGTGTTCATTGCTGTAGTCATTGTAGATCTGTAATACTTCCCATACACGCAAATCATTCAGCTTGGTGATTGCCTAAGGCTTGGATTTCTGAACCTTGTGGGGACTTGGGAAAGATCTCTCTCACTCTCAGATGTAATCGCATAGTTTACTCGTCAAGCGCTCTCACAAGTAGACTGGCGTTGAATTGGTTACCAAAATCCAACTAATTTCCGAATCTAAAATATGTGAAGGAAGAAAATGTTTTTTTCGCTAACCTAGGCATTAGACGCCTAAGAAATCTTGAAAACAGCCCCAATGAATAGTTTGACATAAAATTTGACAAGCCGATTCGGGACCGGGAGCAATAAGAATTTATTTTCACTCAAGGTTACATTTGAACCACACTCTTACGACCTTTGCGTTCGGCACATTCAGATTAGCCATATCTAGACATCTTTGACAGAGGTGCACTAATCACTCGTCCCCATACAACCCCAATAACAATGCCTCTCAATCATTTCCAATATTGGCATCACTTCTCGATGGAGAGACGGACTTTCTCGTATGCGGCTCTCGAATCACAGCTGAAACAGGCAGACAGATAACGCAAATTCCTTTTTTAACTGCTTTCATTTGAAGAACCCTCAATTATACAGTATGTTTTCAATCATCCAAAAACATCATCACAATTCCCTCAACCCGCAATGCGCTTTCTTATGTGGTTGGCTTTTTCCTCCAAACGCATGTCATGCCGCATTTCAAATTAAAATCAATTGGAACATATCATTTCTTTGGAACCATTTTTACTTCAAGATAAGGTCGCAATGTCAATAAGTCAGTAGGTTGTCTCTGATGAACCATGAGCAGCCCAAAATAACTCCTCGTGGGGATAAGCAAGGATCTCTCTCACTCTCAGCAGCAGTCGCCAGTGTAGCGGACTGCTAGACTGTACTCAGTTATCTCTACTATCGTTGGGCCTCCCAAACTAGATGCTTTTGCAAAGCTATGGAGGAAAGAGGCGAGCGAGGAGGGATACGTTTATTTACGACGTAGCACGTCAGTCGTGTGTACAGGAAGGAACTTAGTCATTATCAATATGGCGGATCCGGTAAAACAAATGGGTGTCTCTGATTGGTTAATGTCGGTGAGGTCGCCGCACCTGGTCCGTACGCGAGTTTGCACGTGATGTTGACTAAGCGGTGATGTGTGCCACACCAGTATTCCCGTTGCCCATTCTCACGAGCGGGCACGCATCGAGTTGGTTTTCCTTACTCCAACTGCTTTCAGATTCTAAAATGTGTAAAGATGGAGAAAGGCTTTCGCTCACCTAGGCATTAGACGCCTATGAGATCCAGAAGACGTGGTGCAATGAAAAGATTAACCTAATTTGGAGTAGCCCAATTCGAGCAAGGGAGCAATTGGAATTTGTGTTCACTCAAGGCCACTTGAGTATCACTCTCCGACATTATGAGATGAGTGAGTTAAATAAACAACCTGTTAATTTACAGCAATACAGTCTTTAAAACCTTCCATTGTTTCATGATAACGTTTTTTGCAATAAGAGGTTTATATTTATTTCATTGAATAAATTATCCCAAAATGCTAATGCATTAAGCTGGTCTGTGTACGCATTTGGATTAAAATCAGATGAATTGCCAAAATAGTGTATTTAGAAATGTAAATTTGTTTACTTCGTCTATTAATTTCTTAGCTGGAAGATATGCGTTCAATTCACTTTAAGTAAATAGACTCAAACCATCATACAATTCGTGCTAGATGTGGAACCATTTTAGGTGAAAATTACATTCGGACATGAAGGCTGTAATAAAATGTATATTTCTAATGGGTAGGTTAACGAAATGCCATTTTCTTCCTTTACATATTTTAGATTCTGAAATGCGTTGGACTTGGGAAAACCAATTCAACCCCAGTCCACTCGTGAGATCGCTTGANTGGAATTTGTGTTCACTCAAGGCCACTTGAATATCACTCTCCGATATTATGAGATGAGTGAGTTAAATAAACAAC